TATATATATATATATTATTTTTCACCTATTTTCACTAATTTTATTTCAACTAAACAATTAAATTTTTACTTTATATTTTACTTATTTTTATTAAATTATTATTTTTTCCCTTATTTCTCACGTACTTATTTTTTCTGTACCAAACACACACACTTAAAGATTCGTTGAGCAAATTAAATTTCCAAAGTGAAATTGACTACGAGAGCATAGGTTCAATTCGTTGCAAAAATTGACATACGACCAAAATTACTTAGCTAGTTAACTCGTGCTAAAGAAACCTCATGATTCCCTCAACAAATTTATCATTGAACGAATCTGGTTTCAAATGTATGACTTTCCCTGAACACTCTCTCACTCATCGCAATTATTTTTTGCTCTTTTTATTTATTTCTGACAAACGTAATGTGAATTTTTTTCTAAATTAATATTTTTTTAAATTACCAAAAAAAATATTTATTACATATTATTTACCTAAATAGACCTATTTATTGTTCACACTCAGAATTTAGTTTCTCAAGAACCAAATTCTGAGCACTGGTATTTTTTTTAATATTTTTTTTGTGTTTTAGTTTCCGAAGGAAAATTAGATTTAGAACGGGCCGTTCTACAATCAGAACGGCCCGTTCCAGATAAAAAAAATATACACATGACAAATGGATTAGAACGGGCCGTTCCAAGCAGAACGGGTCGTTCTCCAAGCAGAATGGCCCGTTCCAATTACAAAATTAACACATTCCTAAGTTCAAAAGGAAAAAAAAAATTAAACACCACTCAGAATTCGGTTCTCCGAAAACCGAATTCTGAACACACAAAAAAAAATAACAGTGAGAGAGTGTGAACAATAAAAAGATCTATTTGAGTAAATAATGTGTAATAGATGTTTTTTTGGTAATTTTTTTTAAAAAAATATTATTTGAGAAAAAAATTCACGTAATGTTTGCACATGTGTACCTATCGCTATTAATTCTGCCTATGTCGCCCTATAGCAAAATAATAACTACCTTTGTAAGTAAATTTTGAATTTTTAATTAATTAATAAATAAAATAATTTAATTAACTAATAAATAATTTAATTTCTTAGATGTGTCGATGAATGAATGGGTTGGTTTGGTTGACTATGGTGAATTGTTGGTGTGGATGCAAAAAGTTTCATCCTTAGAAGAAACATCTTAAAAAAAGGTTTTATTGAAAAATATATTTTATTTTAATGATTTTTACTTTCTAAGGTTGATTCTAATTGCCACGAAAAACAAAAGTAAAAAAGCCGTGCCAGTGTAATTTTGATAGAAAAGTGATTCGTATGAAAAAAAAAAGTTTAAATGTACTTTTTTGTCAATCAAATTTTATAATTATACAAATTGGTCGCATAATCTTTAATTTTATGCTTTTTTTTTATATTAACTTTTAAAATTTTGTACATTTTATCGACTTGGTCATTTGATATTATTGATTTATTGTATCAATGTGTTAAGTTAAGAGACAACTAATAACATGACAAAGTATGCAAAATTTAAAAAATTGAGTGCTAAAATAGATAAATTTAAAAATTGTAGCATCTCAAATTTTCTATTGATATAATAGTTTAATTATTAATTATTATTTATTTTATATTTATTGGGGCTATTTTTTTATAAATGTTTTAATTAATTAAATGAGTTTTATAAAATATTTTAGAAACTTTTAGTAATTATGAGTATTTAATTAAATAAAAAATTTTATGACAATTATTTTATATAATATTTATTAGAGAAATATGTATTTTTATAATAAGTATTTGGAGAAAAATATATAATTTTATTGTAATTATTTATACATTTTATTTTAATTATATTTTTATCGGAAGAAATACAATGATTTTATATATTATGTATTTGTTAATCGTTAATTATTGTATTTTTATAATTATTTGGGTTGAGAGAAATATGCTTATTTGATATATTATTTATTTATAAATTTTAATATTTGAGAGAAAGGAAAAGAGAATTATGGTTAAAGTTCTTTTTTTTTTAAAGGATTAAGTGTGAACTAAG